GCTTGTGCCTCAGTAGAATCGAGACGTGCAGTGAGGCTCTCCATTCGTGCACTCATCTGAGCACACCCAAGCTCAATTTGTTCATCTCGGGTTGCTTGAGCCGCCATGCGAGCAAGAATGAGGTCGAGTTTTGCATCGTACGCCAATGTTGTCTCTTGGAGTTCACCCTCGTGAGTAGATATGTGTTCCATGGTGAACTCATGAGAAGGATTGTCAACTCGATCCTTTACGGCATGTACGCGCTCCATTAAGCTCTCAACATGGAACTCCAGATCTCTCTTACGGGCAGCCTGGGATGCCAAAGTATCGAGAATCTGATCGAGCTTTGCATTGTAGGTTGCCTCCTCTTCTTTGGATTCTATAAAAGCCAGGATCTGGTCGAGCTTCGCATGGTAGGCGGCCTCTCTTTCTCGAGCTGCTTGGGAATCTATGAACTCAATAATTCGGTCAAGCTTCTCGTTGAACTTAAGGGCCTCATAATATTGCTCGACCGGAAGATGGTTTCAGCACTGCTCGGAAGAATAAGGGTACGGTTGGGAGTGATACCCAGGGAAATAGACTGGCTCGTTGTTCCAAGAGGGGTCGTGCAGGGAGGAGTACCCGTGATTAAAATTCATTGTACCTGAACACCAGAACAAAACAACAACGCGTAGCCAAGAAAAAAAGGAGGAGAAAAGAAGATAAAAACTAAAACAAGAATAGAAGAAAAAAACACAAATGCACAAAAGGAACAAAAACACTAAAAATGCTAAAATAAAGAGAAACACAGGAAATAAGATCAAACACCAAAACTAAATATCCTACTTGCCTTCCCCGGCAACGGCGCCAAATTTGTTGTGTACAAATTAATCTTTTTACCGAGTACCGAATCGAAAGATTCGTTCCCCGGGTCGATCTCACGAGGAAGGCGGTTCGGAATTCAGTTTTGGTATTGACAACACATAAAAGCAAAGAAAATCCTAAACATACTAATGAGATAATGGATATGAGAAACTATCAGCTAAGAAATAAAATAAAAGCAATCATCTACCTAAAGTATAAACGAAACAAAGACGGAGAAGCTAGGGAATCGGGGATAATTAATTCAAGTTCTAGCAAAGTCGGGCTATCAATTGTTCTATTCTAGATTGACTCTCTCGCTTAAACATCTAGTGGTTCGCTCCCAATAACTCTTCGTAACAAGGATTGAACATAGAGGAGCAAGCTCGAGCATACAATACATGTCAACTATCCCAATCCCAATAACTTTTCGTAACAAGGGACGGGTCATCGACAAGTACGTATTTCAATCCAAAACCTATAGACTATTCACTTATGAAATCATCTACCTCATGTGAGCCTAGGTCTACGACTTATCCCCTTTCGGTTCTAACAGTCGCTATTTCAATTAGAAGGTGTTTAATCAACTAATCATTTAGAATCATCAAGCCCTGACTCGACAAATTAACATTCAATTGTCACTGACTGCGCGTCGCAACGCGGCAAATTTAAATTTATAAAATTTTCCTCAACGTACCCCTACTAACTAGTAGTAGTGGCGAGCAAGGGTCGATCCCACAGGGAGTGTGGTATAAACCGTGATTTTATTATATTAATTAGATAAAAATAAAAAGGGGGGGATTTGATTTAGAACGAAACTACTAGCAAAACGAGAAAATAAACTAGAACTAGAAATAAATGATTAAAGTGCAAACGATGATGAAACCAAAAATAAACAAATAATCTAGAAAATATGAGAATGGAATCGGTCTTAGGTCGGTTTACACCCTCGATTAACTAGTCCAATTAATGCATTTATCAAGTGTCACTCGTCTTCTAAAACTACCGGTCCTAGATAGCAATAAGCTCTGCTACCCGAATTATCCCTTAATTATACTTAATCGAACTAGGCTCTTCAATTAATTCTAACTAGCGAATAACTCGGAATAAGCTCTCCTAATTTAATCCACTAGTTGCATTAGAATCTAGGAAAATAGACCGATCTAAGCCACAAACACACAAGCTCGGTTCATGTAACTTGTGTTGTGTTATCCCTAACAATGCACGACTGTTAGTTGCTACAAGCGAAATAAGAACTACGACAATTACACGGATCGAAGCCTTAATCTAGCAATTAACATGCAATCCTCAACTTAGGTGATCAAGCTAAATTAAAGAACATATATTATGACATGAAACTAGAATAACACAATCAATTTTATACGATGAGTAAAACAAAATAAAATTGCATTAATCAAACATAGTCACCGAGGGTTCAACGCCCCTAGAACCAAAATAGTTTTTAGCTACTCATAGCTAGATGATCAAAATAAAAATAATAATCCATTATGTTCTTCAAGTAAATAAAGCAAATAAATTAAAACAAACTCCTCTTGTCCAAGTAAATCACGGCTGAATTTTCTCCTTAACCCAACAATGCTCTTTTCATCTCCTCCTTAAGCTCTATGTTTTCCGTCCCGCAAGAAAAGTGTCCCGCAAGATGTGTCCCAGCCCAAAAATCTCACTTTTCAATTGATATCTCTGCCACGCATATATCCAAGTCTTCAAATTTTGAGTTTGTAAAAATTGGAACTCTCTCCTTAATTAATTAAAGTTCCCTTCACGTACATGTCTCCAAAGGAAAATAAATTTGTCCCCGCAAGCAGCTCTCTCTCCTCTCGCTTAAATAAGATCAGCCTCTCAAAAATTAAAATCACACTTTCCTTCAATTTCTTGTTAAAAAAATTCAACTCCACATCAGCGCCTACTCAATTGCCATCTCATCGATGCCACGTCACAAATAGGCTTAATAGCTGCAAAATAGACACAAAATCCAAACATTGGTGTATGTCCGTTCATAAAATAAAATACATGAGAAAACTTGAATAATACAATAAAATTAATTACTCGAATATATAAATTAAACCACAAAATAGTACAAGTTTTCTCACTTATCAGTCACCAATTGCAAGACCGAAGTGTCACTCTTCGATTATATCAATCAATCGAACAAGAATTCAACAATTCCGAATTAAATCAACTCAGTTAAGAATGAACAAATCAAGCCCGACAAATACACGTTAAACAAGAACAATCATCCCCTATCCCTAGCAATCGAATTTAGCTACGCATAATGAATTCAACACAAAGCACCATATCAACATATATCATCAATCCCATAGATTAAACGACAATTAATGCTTACGATTAATATAGAAGCCAAGGTCAAATCAAAAGCACAACAAACCCAAAAACAAGAAACAAACCTTGGAATGTCACTCTCCAAGATCAATCCATGATGAAGATTCAAGTGTTCTATGGTGAAAAACTGATAAAGGTGAGTTTTGAGGTGTTTTTTTGGTGCTGGGAACGAGTCCCAATGAAAAAGCATTCAAAAAATCGAGAAAAAAACCGAGATTTATAAAATCTGGTCGCGCAGGGGTTAGCGCCGCTAAGGTCTGGGCTGCGCCACTTCGCGTTTTGGGATCGTTTGAACTCGTTCGAACTCGGAATTGAGTGCCGTTTTTTCCTACGCGTAGCCAACGAACCCCTCTATTCAATTATACTCTTGAAACCAACTTTTACTGAAGAGAAAATTCACCCGAAGCTCCCGACCTACACACCAAAAACGACAAAACACAAAAAAAAAGACCGAAAAAATAAACGAAAAACATTTAAAGACTCAAATGAACGAAAATACATAATAAAACACGAAACGGACTAAAAAAGAAAGAAATAACCTAAAACGGGAGAAAAAGAAAAGCAAAACGAGCATAAAAAATGCAACAAAAATGGGACAAACAGCCAACTGCCCAAACCTAAAACACAACACCAAACAAAATCAAAACGACGCAACACATAATAACAAAAACCACAAACTAAAAAAACAAAACAAACATACACCCTCCCTTAGCAGAAACAACCAGATTAGACAGTAAATAAAAGGCCAATTCCGAGGAGAGCTCCGAAGCTCCGATACTAACCCAGCCACTGCAGAAGGCCTAGCAAGACAACGACAATTTATAAATATATTCATTTCCTGTGAATTTCATATTGATTTATTGATTTTATTTTATTTTTATACAAAGTTGATCGTCTCATTTTGTTTTACCATATTTTCGTAGAGATTTGACAAAGCCGATTGCATTTATAAAATGATCTGGATATCAACATAAAATTTATAAAGGTGTTTTCAAAATTGTGTACTATTAACAAACAATATATCATCATTAAATATTTGTGTGTTTGGTTGGGATTCTAGACGGTCGTCTGACCTGTCCTACCAGTTTATTCAGCTTTTGGTTGTATTATTTAATTGCAGAATCCGTGGTTATTGCATATTTGTGCGTTTTGTTATATAATATTCTCTATTATTCCGAAAAAAAAAATACAAATCCACATCGTCATTGTAATAAGGTCATTCATCGGGATGATTGGTTCAGGCATCACCTACGTGGCAAAATCCAATCTCGTAAGGCAAAGCGCATCTTCGCACGAGTACCTTCCGTCGTCCGAACGAAACTTCCCGTCCCTCAAAGAGTAGAGAACGGCATTGCCGAAGCCGTAAAATTTGGGCAACCGAATCATGTTAGCTGTGGCTTCCGTGCAAGTCGTGTCCCTAAATGACGAGAAGGAGCTAAGGTACAACTAGGAGTGAGCATTGATCAGTACGGTTCGGAGATGGACAAATCTCTGGAACCGTACTAAAATTTAGAAATCATCACTAAATTTAATCTTCGGAACCGTACCAAAAAATCAGGACGGTTCGGTTCGTAGATTTTTATTTTTCGGTTCAGTTCGGTTCGATATTTGGACTATGATTTGATTGGGTTGGTTCGATTCGAGTCTCCGGTGATTTATAATTATTTTTTTATTTTTTTTTTTCGGAATGACGACCTAATTATATTTTATTTTTATGTTATAATATGCTTTGAAAAATCCAACATTCAACAATACTTCATCATATAAAAGATTTTAAATAATATTTTTAAAACGGTAAAAATTCAATTGTAGATCAAGTATTATTAAGACACACATTATCCAAAAGTCCACATATCATAATTCCAAATACATATCCCATAATTCACATTCCACAATTCCATACGACGTATTTTAAATTTATTTGTGATTTTTTCATCAATACATGTGTAATACCAAAAAGCATTGAACCTTTGCCATCTTTGAACAGTGGGTGTCGACGCGTCGTATTATTATTAAACTGATAGATATTATGGTAAAAATATCTACCAATTGATTTTTATTTGAAAATTTATCATCTTTAAATAAATATTTCTCTCCAAATTTTGTGAAAGATTTTCTTCATAAAGTCCGGTTTCTAAACATTCTAAATTTGAATTTAGTTTATAATTAATAGTTTTTTTTAATAAAATTTGACTATTACTTAGTTGGCCAACTAATTTTTTTTCTCGATTTTCCCTAAATTATTCACAAAGATTGCAGATTTTTCTGGTATAGAAGGTGAGAGTCTATAGGCTCTCGGAGGAGTCGATGACGTGGGATTTGGTGAAGGATTTCGAGGACAAAGTGTTGTACGGATATAGTATTATGTTTCTACCCACGGGCAATAATACAGCGTACCAGTAGGTAGGCCGGTATAACTAGCTTTACATGTTTTATCATTGGTGTGTTTAGCAAATGCATATATATATATTCCATACTTCTTTATCATAAGTGACTGTAATTTGTAAAGCAAAAAATCAAACAAGCTGCAAACAAATCCTTTCAATACTGATATCTCCACACCATCAACAACACTAAAATGATAATACCAAGCCAAGAAATCAAAACAAGTAAAATTTTCAAGTGATAGAAAGAAAATAAAAAAAATCAAGATTAGTCTGCTCAAAAAACATTTTTTTCCTGATGACAATGGCATTATTCACAGCCAAACCATATACAGAACACAAGAATAACCTTTCCTTTGTTCTTGTCACTGTCGAGTATTTCTGGCCTCTACCACCACTTTATAAACAGATCAACCCAAGCACAGCAGCCATTAGATAGAGGTAAAAGTAAAAAGAAAGAAAGAAGCACGCAACATCTACGACTCAAGCTAGTCAGCCTATGGTGTAAGGGGAGCAAAAGAAGAATAGAAAAAAAGAATTGAAAAAATACATACAAGAAAATAGCAAGTCGATAAACTGGCTCGGGATCAAGAAAACAAATCAAAAGAAAGAACAGGGAAAATGTGGATGTCGCGTATTAGCACCTTTCTCACTCTTCATCATTAGCATTTTGTAGTGGTTTATCTGCCTTCATTAGCTAATCGAAGAGAGCCATCCCTCATTAACTTCAAGCTAAGACTGTTGAATCTCTCGCGAGAATACTGTCTTGATGCTTTTCTCCAGT